CATGGGCAAAAAAGAAGCAAAGAAGCAACACAGGAAAGTGGAACTAGGCAATCAGGAAAGCTTACCCTTGTTTTGAAGTCTGGAGGAACCACCACTGCAGCTGAATCCCTCATTATAAAAACTCCTTAGACTGTGAGCACTGACAGGCTCTACTGGCTATGGCACATCTCCCCTGCAGGTAATTTCTACCTTCTAACAAAGCTCTTTAATACTATATTTCATGACTGTTTAGCCAGACCTGGTATCACTGGTGTGGCACTAAAGGATAAGCACTAGACTACTAACCACAAAGTCAGTGGTTCAAACCCACCAGCCTCTTCTCCTTAAAAAACCCGACACAAGGTCACTATGAGTCAGAATCAAATAGGGGGCACTAGCAACAACAGCAATAGGAGTAATTTTAAGGGCTATGTAAAATAACACACACAAAGGTCTTAAGACAGGCGTGGATATTTAGTAAACACTTAGCCATTGCTGGCAATTATTATATTTTCTCTGATTACTGAGTTGAATGAAGGTCCCTGTGGACAATTCTCCTCAAGCTGAAAACTAAAGGGAGAGAGTGCGCACATGAACTATTTGAAACTCACCCCAAAAACAGTAGTTGGGGGAGTAGTTAATCTTACATTCCAGGAACAGAGGACCCTAGGACTATCAAGGGCGAAGAGCATGAGTGGCATGTGGGACCCTATCCAGAGAAGCAGCAACACCAGAGATGAGGACATGGAGAGATAGAGCAGCTGAGGACTCTAGACTCATGGAAAGAGAAAGTCTGTGTGCTAGCAGTCAGGAGGCAGGCTTGTGCCTTTTGGTTCTTTAAATGATTGTATATTCCTGACAGTTTTTGTGTACATCAAAACACAAAACAAAACCAAAACAGAGGGAATAAAAGCAAATACTGTTGAATGATGAAGCATGGAGAGGATTGTAATCTTTGAAATTAAACAAAATACGATAGGATGAGTGTAAATCCGATGTTCTATCATGTAAATTATTACTCAATTCACAATAAAAGCTTTTAAAAAATAAATAAAAGAAGTAGTTGGGGGATTTGTAACACAGATCAAATTATTCAGTTATATCTCTTGGCCATGCATGAGTTGTGCCATTATCTGTTACTGTTAATAATTCCTGAAATGTAGTTACCACTGGAGCCAAGATTCCTGATAGTACAACACACTAGTACAGGGCAAAAGACAAGCCTCTTCTTTGCATGGCAATTATTAGTGCTAGTGGAAAATGGCAGCTTTTTCACATAAATACTTTTATTTTTTTATTCAGTGGAGAGATGAATGCAGAGAGGAAATGAATGCAAGCAGTAACTGCAAATGTAAGTCAGCCCATGGAAGTTATGAAGTACAAATCTGATCTGCCTGATGTGATACTCTGCCTAAATCCAATCCATCCTGAAGATCATTACCTTTTTTTTTTTTTTACTTTTTTTGTATGAATTTACAAAAATACAACTTATTTTTATGGTTCTTGTTTGTTTGGAAAACCGATTCTCCGTAGTGTCTGTTTTTTGTGTTTTTTTTCTTGATTTGGTCATATTTATGAGCTTATATTTGAACACATTCCAAAATTCCAATTTTGTCAGTTCTGACCCATAGCGACCCTATATAGGGTTTCCGAGGAGAAGCTGGTGAGCTTGAACTGCCGACCTTGTGGTTAAAATAGAGTACAGTCCAGTGCATTAACCCATAGCGCCGCACCAGGTGTAGCACGGGCCCTTGGCATCACTTAAACCCACTGTCTCTGAGTCAATTCTGACTCTTAGTGATTCTCTAGGACAAAGTAGAACTGCTCTTGGGATTCTAAAGCTGTAAATCTTTGCGGAAGCTGACTGCCTCATCTTTCTCCCATGGGTCAATTGGTGGGTTTGAAACAGGTTAGCCTGTTGTGCCGCCAGGACTCTTGGATGCAACTTCATGGGGGCACCAATGAGCAGTTTCTATTAGCCCTTACAGTTTCCATCACCAGCTGCCACAGATCATTCAACAACTTAAACTAATTGCCATAAGCACTATTTTCCGTAGATACATCTTTGGTATAGAATGAACACCCCTGTCTGAGTCAATGCAAGCTACTCTTCAGCGTTCTATAGAAAAAGTTTAATTTATGCATTATTCACACAGTGAAATTTATTGCTTGGTTCCTTATTTATAATTGTATAAATTTTATAAATCTTATAAACCCAGAGCCATCAAGTCAATTCCAACTCCTAGTAACCCTGTATAGGGTCTCCTAGGTTGTAAACCTTTATGGGATCAGAAAGTCTCATATTCCTCCCTTAGACTGACTGGTAGGTTTGAACTACTGACCTTGTGGTTAGCAGTCCAGTGCTAACTCTACAGCTCTACCAGGGCTCCTTTATAAACCTAATAGCCAGCCACAAAATTCAGTTATACTTGTGGGATGAATGATAATGTGTTAATTGACTAGATGCTGTCATTAATCAAATTTATCCTGAATCAGAAAGAAATCAGGTCTTCTGTTCTCAGATAATGTGTCCTTTTCTCAGACAATGTGTCCTTATTCACAAAATACTCACATTTGTACAATAGTTTTCCTTTTCAGGAGAAACTCTCATGGAGAGAGGCTGTGAGAAATGGTAACACCAGAAATGATTGCATGTTCATTTAACTCTACAGATTCAGCTCCCAATAAGTGGCTTTCAACGTTAACCAGTTTTCTTAATTTAATTTTTTATTAATTGAAATTACATATAATTAGAATTTTTTTTTGTCATCAGCTCTAGCCCTACTTAAAGTGCTCAATAGCCACATGGCATGACACAGGTCCAGTCTGTAAATGTGAATTTATGAATCATGAATCATTCCTACTTTGCATTTACAATGATTTGATGAGGCTTTCTGTTCCTTTTAATTTTGACAGCCACAGAAACCCTATATAGGGTCACTTGTTGTTGTTTTTGGTAAGTGTCATCAAGTTGGTTCTGACTCATAGCAACCCTGTACAGGGTTTCTGAGGAATGGCTGCCTAGTGAGATTGAACTGCCGACCTTGCGGTTCAAACTGACCTTATAGTCCAGCATATCAGCCCACAGTGCCTGTCACACCAGGGCTCCTACAGGGTCACTATGAGTCAGAAAATGATAAAATTTTGAAAGACAAAAAACTTATTCAATGCAAATTCCTTTTTTTCAAAATATAAATGGTGACTATATGTTGTGGGTTAATGTGCCAGACTGCAAAGCCATTTGAACTACAAGGTTGGCGGTTCAAGCTCACCAGTCACTCCTCGGAAATATTACACAGGGTCGCTATGGGTCGGAACCGACTCGACGGCGCTTAACAACAACAACAACAACATATCCATATGAAAGTTGGACAGTGAATAAGGATGACTGTAGAAGAATTGATGCATTTGAGTTGTGGTGTTGGAGAATCTTGAAAGTACCCATGGACTGCCAAAAGAACAAAGATCTATATTGGAAAAAGTATAGACAGAAAGATCCTTGGGAGCCATATAGCCAGACTTTGTCTCTCATACTTCAGACATATTATCAGGAGGGACCAGTCACTAGAGAAGGATATCATGTTTGGTAAAGTGGAGGGTCAGAGAAAAAGAGGAAGACCCCCAAGAAGATGGATTGGCACAGTGGCAGCATCAATGGGCTCAAGCGTAGCAAGGATTGTGAGGTTGGCCAAGGATTGAGCAGTGTTTCATTCTGCCGTGTATCGGGTCACTATGAGTTGATACCAACTCGATGGCACCTAACAACAACAAGGTACATTAGCTATTATTCTGAACATTGCTAAATGATTAAAGTGCAAATAAGGAAGAAATAAAGAAGTTGAATACTTCTTCAGCAATTTCTCTGTCATCAGTAAAGCGAGAAAAAATATATATATAACACTGTGATATAAAGATGAGGCATAATGTTGTGGAAAGTGTGCTCTTGTTGGTTGCTAACCTGCCAGTGGTAGAACCTTGGAAAGATGATGGCATGATGCCTTGCTGCCCTGGGAACTGGGGGAGGAAATGAGGACAGAGAGGAACAAGGGGGAGTATATATGGGACTGGAAGAATAAGTTAATAAACCCACTTCAAACAAAGATGATGATAATAATGCTAATATAATAAAGTTGTTAAATAATGCTAATATAATAAAGTTGTTAAATGCTGGGGTCTACCATTTTTAATTTTTAAAAATACCTTTTCATCAGTTACTTTAAAGAGATGCATACTTCTGATCCTCTTTCGGTGGCTAGCTGGGTATGAATCGCTCCTTTCTGGTATGAAGGATTTTAGTCTTATTGGCTATGCAATTCTTTTCATGTCTCCCCTCAAGCAATGTTATTTTGCAATCTCTCTGGGGTTATTTCCCCCTGTCTTTTATTTTCACACTATATCTGTGCTCTCTGTACAAATGGTGGGAAATGATTCTCCTCAAAAATGTCTGGGTGATTGTAGGTCACCTATTTCTCAGTTCCTCCTTTCTCTCCAATTGGTCCAGAATCTAGATAGCTTTGCAAATAAAGAGCTAGCTTTTCAGGAGCTGTAAACAGGCCTAATGATTTGGTGATGTAACTGCCACGAGCTTTGCTTCCTTGGAACTTAAAAACACAAGAGCAAATTCTAGTTTTTAAAAATTGTACACATCTAAATTATTTATAGCCAAAGAAATTCCTTGTTAAATGCAATCCAATCGGTTACCCAGCAGTACAAACTGGCCTTGCAGCCCAGCAAATTATCCTGCAGCGCCACACTAGGACTCCAATGTCACTTGGATACTTAGATTTAAAAGAACTGTGTAGATTTAAAAACGCTGGTCTGATTGGTAGAAGTTGGCTCATATAGAACCAATGATAGAGTAGAGCCAAGATCCCTCATTTGCGTACTCTCCTCAAAATAATGAGCGAATCAGCGACTGCGAAATTAAGTCTTCATTTGCATAACAGCGTCTACAAATACGCAGGCTTCTGACTTGAGGGCATCATTTTTGGGTTTGTTTTGCGGTGTCTACGGTGTTTAAAATGCCTGAACCGGCCAAGTCTGCTCCTGCTCCCAAGAAGGGCTCTAAGAAGGCGGTGAGCAAGGCCCAGAAGAAGGATGGCAAAAAGCGCAAGCGCAGCCGCAAGGAGAGCTACTCTGTCTACGTGTACAAAGTGCTGAAGCAGGTCCACCCGGACACCGGCATTTCATCCAAGGCCATGGGTATCATGAACTCCTTCGTGAACGACATTTTTGAGCGTATCGCAGGTGAGGCTTCCCGCCTGGCGCATTATAATAAGCGATCGACCATCACGTCCCGGGAGATCCAGACGGCGGTGCGCCTGCTGCTGCCTGGGGAGCTGGCCAAACACGCTGTGTCTGAAGGCACCAAGGCCGTCACCAAATATACTAGCTCCAAGTGAGCAACTTTCCTGTATCAGGATCAACCAAAAGGCTCTTTTCAGGGCCACCTACATTTTTACCATCGGAGCTCACACTATATTAACTACTTCCGTTTCCCACCTAGTCATTTAATCTGGTGTGGCGCTGTGGGCTAATGCGTCAAGACTGCAAAGTCAGTGGTTCAAGCTCAGCAGCTGCTCCTTGGAAACCCTATACAGGGTAGCTAAGGGTCAGAATCGACTTAATGACATTTAACAATTCTTTCACACTCCCCCAGTTTTTTGTGTAAGGTGTTTGTAGTCCTGGGAAAGCCTTTATTAAATCAATTAAGTTGAGGTTAATATTTACTTTTAGTTTGTCCCTTTTATTTTCTTGAATTAACATCTAACCTTGTTTTACCGTTTTCTATTCTGTCTGGAGTACTTAAAAAAAGCACTCATCAGTAGGTTGAGGTTTCTTTTGTTTTAAATGTCTAATGGAAACGAATAGAATCTTTTACTCCATTCACTCTGCTATTCCAGACATAATTCACAAATTATTTGTCCCTACGTTGATTCTGTTTCCTGTTGACTTTATGCGTGTAGATACCCTATTTATATTTGTGGAGCATATGTTATGGTTGTGCTATTTACCCTGTACATTGTCACACTCAGGCCCTGTAAAAACATGACATTTTCCCTAAATTAAAGTGTTGGCAACAGTGCTGCAAAGTTTTCTCAGTAGCTTGTTATAGGCTATAAGCATACAAAATGGTAGAATATAGATTTTCATGATATATAATCACCCTCTTTTTTTTCTGTGCCTCTTTGATGTCATGAGAAATAGTACTTGTAATGATTGTAATGCCAACCAAAAGTTAAGAATGGTTAACATATGCCAGGCACTGTCCTAAATGCTGAACAAATATTTAATTTCATTCCCTACCAAATGTATGAAGTTAATGCTACTATTTTTATTTTACAGAAACACAGAGAAGTTAAATAACTTGAAAAGGCATACTACAAGTAAGCATCTCTCTCTACAAAGCATATGGTGCCTTTTCATCTCTCAAGAGGGGTGTTGGGAGTGTTCCTTATAAAATTAATATACAAATTTATTCAAGTACACAGATTATCAAATATATAAAAAGCAGTTTTTGTCTTGTCAGTTCTGATTCACGTTAATTCCATGTGTGTCCGTAAAACTGTATTACATATGGTTTTCAAGGGCTGATTTTACAGAAATTTTACCAGGCCTGTCTTCCAAGGTACCTGTGAGTGAACTGGAACCGCTAATATTCTGATCAACATGAATGCATTAACTGTACCACTCAATTGTTTTTGTTAAATGCTGTTGAGTAGATTCCAACCATAACAACCCTGTATAGGGTTTCCAAGGAGCAGCTGGTGAGCTTGAACTGCCAACCTTGCAGTTCAAATGGCTTTGCAGTCTGGCGCGTTAATCCAGAGTGCCACACCAGGTACTACTCAGAGACTCCATTAAATATATTATTGTTAAGTGCAGTCCAGTCAGTTCCAACCCATAACAATACTGTAGGGGTTCCAAGGAGATGCTAGATCTGCCGACCTTGTGGTTCAAACCCAACTTGCAGTCCAGTGCTTATCCTACAGGACTCCCCATTAAATATATGTTTTATTAAATATATTTGCTGAAATTGTAAATAGCAGATGAGTTCAAAAGGCCTTAAAATAACACTCATTGACATCTTTCTTAATTAGGTTGATAATGTATTCCCAGACAAGATAGCAATGTTTTGGTTTATTCTTGAATTTATGAGAGTCTATTACTTTGGGCCTTTAGCCTGGGGTGGTGTGGGGGGAGTCAAATGGGGTATCTATATTGCTTTATGAGTTAGAAAGTACATTGTTAATATCAAATGTTTCAAGTAACAGCGACTAAATGGTGACAAAATAAATTTACTCTGATTCAATGTGTTCTTTCTGTATTATGACTACTCCTTCTTCTCTGCCTTTAAATTTTGATTCTCTAGAATTAGGCCCTGAAATCCTAAACCCCATGTTGTACATAGGGATCCATGAATCCCGAAGAGCCACAGATGGTATATGTGCCTTATGGAATGTCTACAACTATATGCATATCTTTCAACAGATTGTCAAATTCGTTTTTATCAAAAATTTCAGAACTACTCAAGGTCGGTTTGAAGTGCAAGGCCAGTGGTCCGAACTCACTAGCCAGTGAAACCCTATACAGTGACACTATGAGTTGGAACCCACTGGATGACACTTAACACATTAACAACTGTCCTAAAGAAATATCCTGATCACACCGATGAAGACTTGGGGACAATTCAGTCCACCCATTCATCTCTAACATGAATATGCCCTTACCTTAACTTGTGCTGTCACTTGTGATGTGCCACCAAGTAAATTCCAACTCATAGCAACCCTGTATAGAGTTTTAAAGGAGCAGCTTGGTAAGTTTGAACCACCAACATTATAGTTCAAACATACTTTGTGGTCCAGTGCTGTGCTGTCTGGAATGAAACAAACACAAAGGAGATACCTAAAGAAAAGGTGCCTTTTGGATCAGATTTCCCTAAAAGAAAGTTTTAGATCAATGGACGAAAAGTCCACATTGCTAAATAAGTCACAAGTACAAAACTATTTGGTCTGGTAAAAACAAATAGCTATCAGGGTTCAAACCAGTTCATTCCAGTTTGATCCCTCTGTTGAGAATTTGCCTTTCCACCCCAGGTATACTGAATCAGAATCCACATTTTAACAAGATCCCCAGGTGGTCAAACCTTAGAGAAACAGTTTTAAACCCTGGGTTGTATATACAAATAATAAATAGCTTAAGAGTTATTTTTATAATCATAGAACAGGCCCACTGTGATTACTCTATCTTTGTGGGGCAGTTCTGCTCCTCCTGATGGATTGGTCAGGTATCCTATCCCTTTCTGGACTAATTGCCATTTTCTAGGACTTTATGGGAGTGCTGGTGTGACACTGTAGAATAAGCACTGGAGTGCTAAACCAACGGTTCAAACCCACCAGCCATTGGTTGGAAATCCTATACAGGGTTACTATGAGTCAAAACCAACTTGATGGCACTTAACATGATGGCCTATCTGGGCCAACAGCATAAATGGTTAAGCACTCAACGACTAACTGCCTAGAGGCTGGTGGTTGGAATTCAGAGGCACCTTGGAAGACAGACCTGGCAATCTGCTTGCAGAAGGAAATGCTATGGAATAGTTCTAATCTGCACACATGAAGTCACAAGGAGATGCAATAAATTTAAAGACAACTATCAATAGGACATGTTGTCTTCAAACTAGATTAATATCATCATAATAATTGGTGGGAAGAGGGGCTACGGCAATATGGAAGGTTTTAAGGAATAATTAGACTTTATTACAAGTCTGTATAGTCTCATGTTTCATGGCACATGATAAAAAATGCTGGGCTCTCGAGCCCGTTTCCTTAAATTCCTTACCCACTTCAACTTTAAAAAAAAGACAAACGAGCAAGCAGTTCTCAAGGGAATATGTAAACGTTCCTATTATCCACTGTAAACTAACTTTCTGTGGTACCCTAGGAGGGTTGGTAGTGGTGGTGATGTGTGGTGGAGACAGTTCAACTCATAGCGACCCTGTATAGGGTTTCCAAGGCCAACACTGAGTTTTCATTTTATATAGTACATCTGTTGTCTAATGGTACCTTTTCTTCTGGATTCAGCAAAAGGTAGCATAGGATGACACATGACCCCGCCTGTATTTCATTAAAAAGTGTCTTTAAGTAGAGAACATTTATTGTTCTACTTTTCCTCATAGGACTGAGTGCCTTCAGTGCATTGTTATCAGTCTCTCACCATGTTGAGTTCTAGGTATATACAGCTCATAGAACAAAACATTGTTGGTTCTCGCTTGGAGTTTTTTTTTCCCATTTTTCTATTGAACCTGCCAACATTTTAGGGATTATGAGATATCTTAAAACCACCCTAAACCTCCCGGCCGTATGTCAAATATATTGCCTAGTTACACTTGAATCATACAATCGTAAAGTAACAAAAAACGCTAGTTATATAACTTACCCAACTATAAAAAGTCCCAACACCCTTAATAAAACCCTTAGAAAAAACACCGTGACTAGCTCTTTAAATGAATGGATGGATGGCCCTGAAAAGGGCCTTTTGTTTTTGCAGAGATCGAGAGATCGTCAGAGATCGAGTTTAGCCACCAAAGCCGTAGAGGGTACGGCCCTGGCGTTTGAGCGCGTAGACAACATCCATGGCGGTAACAGTCTTGCGCTTGGCGTGCTCGGTGTAGGTGACTGCATCACGGATCACGTTCTCCAGGAAAACCTTGAGAACCCCACGTGTCTCCTCGTAGATCAGGCCAGAAATGCGCTTAACACCACCACGGCGAGCAAGACGTCTAATGGCGGGTTTAGTAATGCCCTGAATGTTATCTCGAAGGACCTTCCTATGGCGTTTGGCGCCTCCTTTACCTAAGCCCTTACCACCTTTTCCGCGTCCAGACATTGCTACAAAGCAGTTGTTAGACCAGCAAAGCAATGCGGTCCGCAGAGGAAAGCAGCGTATTTATACTGATTTAGCGGACCTGTTTGAAAACCTCAAGAACAGGGGCGGGAACATTAACTATTCACGCCCTCTGAGGCTGGATACCGGAGACCAATCGGAACGCCTGAGGCTTCAGGGCAGGCAAGGAGGGGAAGTTTATGAAATGCTTTTTTTTTTTTTTTTTTTTTTTTTTTTTTTATGAAATGCTTTTAATGGAAAGATTATGGATGCGCCTGAGAAAACCCGCGCTCTAGCAATCGATTTCTGACAGGTCACAGCCTTAAAAACCTTATGATGGTACAATTCTAGTCTACACACTTGAGTGTTGCCATAAATTTGAGTAAAGGCTACCGGATGACAACTAACAACAACGCGTATATGGATTTCTGCTCCCTATACAGAATACTTCCATCCATCAATTGATTTACTTGGCATATTTTCTGAATATGAAATATTGTATCAAGTCATATCTTAATTGTTCAAATTTCAGGTATCTTGGTTTTTGAATGTCTGGCAGTGTTGTGCCACCTTCCGACTCAGAAAGTATAAGGTTTCCAAGGCTTAAATCTTTGAGAAGAAAGCCTCATCTTCCCCCCCCGCCCCGCAGAGAGCCTGCTAGATTCGAACTACTGATTTTGTGGTTAGAAGCCCTACTCCACTATGCTACTTGTTGTTAAGTGTCGTCGAGTCGGATCCGACCCATAGCGACCCTACACAGGGTTTCCGAGGAGCGACTGGTGAGTTTGAACTGCCGACCTTGCAGTTCAAATGGCTTTGCAGTCTGGCGCATTAACCCACATCGCCACACCAGGACTTTGCTACTAGGGATCCTTTATAAATATTTGGTGGTGGTTGTTATGTGCTGTGGAGTTGATTCCGACTCACAGCGACCCTGCACAGGGTTTCCGTGGCTGTAAATCTTTACGAGAGCAGAAAGCCTCATCTTTCTCCCGCGGAACAGCTGCTAGTTTCGAACTTCTGACTGTGAGGTTAGCAGTCCGATTAGTAACCACTACGTTACCAGAGCTCCTTTATTTGGTAGTTGGTGATTATGTCCTGTTGAGTCGATTCCATCTCATAGCGACACTGTATAAGGGTTCCGAGGCTTAAATGTTTCCATAAGCAGAAAACCTCAACTTTCTCCCGCGGAGCAGCTGGTAAATTGAAACTATTGATCTTGTGGTTACACATATTACAAAGTGAAATAAAACCTTGTTTGACTGTGTGTTGAATGATTTTATGGACAAATTATTTCCTTAACCATAAACAGGTTATACCTAACATTGTTATTTGTTACTACTTTATATTTCCCAAACAGGTTGACACTATAGAGTCTGGTACCAAGCTATGGTGACAGTTAACTCCACACTTAGCTCTGCGTGGGACCCTGACCGACCAAGCTGCCGTTAATGCAGTGGACTGCAAGGTCAGTTTGAATCGCAAGGTCGATGTTTCAAGCTCACCATTCACTCCTTGGAAACCCTATACAGGGTCGCTATGAGTCAGAATTGACTGGAGGACACTTAACAACAACAACAAACATAGAATAAGCACTGGGTAAAACAAAGTCGGTTTGAATCAGAAGGTTGGTGGTTCTAACTTATGTGCTGCTCCTGTGGGTTAAACACTGGGCTGCTAACTGCATGGTCAGGGGTTCAACACTATCATCTACTTTTCCCCAGGAAACAGCTGTGACTGTCTGCTCCCATATAGATTTAGTCTCAGAAAGTATATATAAGGTCACTATGAGTCAATTCTGATGGCACTGGGTTTGTATTTTTGAGTTTGGTTTTTATTCTAATTTGGTACAGTGTAGTTTTGAAAACTTCTCAAAATAATAACACTTACAGACATGACTCATTAGCCTCCCTGGGCAATGCCAGCTGCCTTTGAGTTTATGATTTGACTTTTCCGGTCACCTGTAAGGGATGGTAATTGTTGGATTATTGACTGATGAATGGAAGTTTCACACAACTGTTTCAGGCACTTATTGAGATTCTCCGTCTAGGATTCATAGAATTCAGAGGATCTGGGAATAAGTATAGAAAAAAAATTGCACCTTTATTTTCACTATCTCCAACTTAAAACATGACATTTCTTTCAAGTATGAATGTAGACAACAAATAAGGTAGAATTGGCAAAACCTTTTGGGGTTGGCAAAGAATATTTAAAGTACCATGAACAGCCAAAAGAACAAACAAATCTGTTTTGGAAGAAATACCGCCATAATTCTCCTTTGACATGAGGGTGGAGAGACTTCTCTTATTCTCTGGACATGTCAGGAAGGACCAATCCCTGGCGAAGGACATCATGCTTGGTAAAGTGGAAGATCAACGAAAAAGAAAACCCTCAACAAGATGGATCGACACAATGGCAGTAACAATTGTAAGGACAGTGCAGGACTGAACAGTCTTCCTTTATGTTGTACATAGATAGGGTCGCTATGAGTCAGAACCAACTAAATGACACCTAACAGCAACAACTACAGCTATATTCAAATCACACTGCAGTTGTCAATAAAATATCATTTAAGCACATCACTCCTAATATCTGGCCAACTTTAGTCATTCAGGGAAATCTTGTTATTCATGCATTAATTAAAAAAATATATATAAATTTATAGTTTTCCTATTTTTATATATTATAATTTGATAATAGTAAGCTAAAAGCAAATTTAAAGTTATGTATGATAATAGTATATTAACCCTGGATGGTGCAAATGGTTAAGCACTGGACTAATAGTGATAAAGTTTGGAGTTCAAATCTACCCAGAAACACCTTACAAGACAGGTCTAGTTATCTGTTTCCACCAGAAAACTCTATGGAGCATTTCTACACTGCATATATGAGGTCACCACAAATTGGAATTGACTGGACGGCAACTAACAACAAATGGTGAACTAACATATTTCCTTTGTAGTACTATGTATTCTAAGGAGCTCTGGTAGTGTAGTGGTTACGATTCAGGCTGCTAACCTCAAGGTCGGCAGTTCAAAAATACCAGATGAGGCTTTCTGCTCCCGTAAAGATTTGCAGCTTCGGAAACCCTGTGCAGGGTCACTATGATTTGGAACTGACTCCACAGTACTTAACAACAACAACTATGTATTCTATCCTAACCATTTAAAAACACATCTTAAACAACTAATACATATATTATTCCTTGATTCTGATACTTGCTTGTCTTCCTCAAGTATGTGACTCCTGTGTTTCAAAAGTTCATGAACATTTTAATAACTGATACCCTGCTAGTGAAACTAATGCTGTTAGGGCTGACAATTCAGTTCTGACTCACAGCAACCCTGTATACAGTTTTCTGAGGAGTGGCTGGTGGGTTAGAACCAGTGCTTATCCTACAGCAATAGGAAACAGGAAAAAAAAAAAAGTTTTTTAAACCCATAAACAGTTTCAGTCTCTGTCTCTAAGTTTTTCTAGATGTCTTCTGGGATCAACTATGGCAATTCAGACCCAACTCTCATGTCAGGCAAATCACTGATCATTTTATTTCCAGGCTTTGCCTAGAGAAATGTTGAACACCTGAACCCCAATTTTAACTAACCCTCCAAATAATCACAAGAAGTCATGATAATGCTCTTTCAGACCAAAATAAAGATGTTTTTTGGCAGAATGAGCCATTATCTCAGGCAGCATTTATTGCTGTTCCTGTAGAGAAATCCAGAAAGAGCCTGTGTTACTTCTCCTCATATGAAACAAATTTTCTGGATAAATCTCAATGACATCCAAGCAGTTATTGAGCGTACAAGAAGCCAAGAATGTATAGAACATTATTCGAGAGCAAGCACTTGCAGACACAAAGGGGAGGATTTATATTTTAAACGAAAATCAAGAAGTTCTCTCTCTGACCTTTGAATCTCTCACGGAGTCCGGGGCTTTTGAAAAAAACTGAAGGCGATGTGATAGAAACTGGAGGAAAAAAATATGAAGAACTCAAACCTTGAGACATCTCGGTTCATTTAGGAAGAGAATTGTTGTGATTCCTCCACGGGAATTTTTAATTTTTTGCTTTCCTGAATTGTAACAAACACAATTCCGGGACTGAGCTGAGCCTAGGTTGCTGCCAAGCTGGAAGACTGAGCTGGGAACCAATCAGCGCGCAGCGCCGCTGTCTATATATACACACATTCACTCCGGGCCTGGCAGCTCAACTCTGAGACTTTTTTTTTTACATTTAGGTGTCAAAACCTACAATCATGTCCGAAACCGCACCTGCAGCACCTGCTACATCTTCCCCCGCGGAGAAGACCCCGGTAAAGAAGAAGGCTCGCAAGTCTGCTGGTGCCGGCAAGCGCAAGGCGTCCGGGCCCCCCGTGTCCGAACTCATCACCAAAGCGGTAGCCGCTTCTAAGGAGCGCAGCGGAGTGTCCCTGGCCGCGCTCAAGAAGGCACTGGCGGCTGCTGGCTATGATGTGGAGAAAAACAACAGCCGCATCAAGTTGGGCCTTAAAAGCCTGGTGAATAAGGGCACCCTGGTGCAGACCAAGGGCACCGGCGCCTCAGGCTCCTTCAAGCTCAACAAGAAGGCGGCCTCTGGGGAAGCCAAGCCCAAAGCCAAGAAGGTAGGTGCCACCAAGGCCAAGAAGCCGGCCGGAGCAAAGAAGCCCAAAAAGGCGGCGGCCACCCCTAAGAAGAGCGCCAAGAAGACCCCGAAGAAGGCAAAAAAACCGGCTGCGGCTGCTGGGGTCAAGAAAGTGGCCAAGAGCCCGAAGAAAGTGAAAGCGGCTAAGCCCAAGAAAGCAGCCAAGAGCCCAGCTAAGGCAAAAGCTCCAAAGCCCAAGGCCACTAAACAGAAAGCAGGAAAGCCCAAGAAGGCAGCTCCCAAAAAGAAGTAAAAAGATTCAGGATACTTTTTAAAAGGCTCTTTTCAGAGCCACCCACTTATTCCTAAAAAGAGCTAACAACACCATGGTGGGTGGGAGGTTAGTAAATGACATGTATAAATCCTTATCATCTAGAAGGTTGTCACTGAAGGGAGTTTATGACCCGTTTCCACCTATGTGCAGGCCTGCTAGAATGTCTTTTGTGATGGTGATGAGGTTGGCATGAATATGGCACACACCATGTGTCTAAAAGAACGCCCTGCCAGATACCTGTCTAGTCAAGATAATAGCCTAGCATGAGTCGGTATTGAATATAGGTTTGCTTTACCAAGATTTGCAAGAACTTTGGGAGATAGTCCTAAATCTTAATGGTTTTTTAGCACTGAATTTCGATACAAGTTTGCAGGAATGTACTGTGTATTTTTAATAATGCAAAACAATACACCATGTTGGAAAAATCCTTGTGTGTTATTATGATTACGGGGGAGTGCGGTGACGCCATAAGAAACAAGACTGCGAACCACAAGGTCGAAGGTTCGAGCCCACCCGGCGCTCTGCGACAGAACGTTCAGCTGCAAACATTTTTAAAGTGTCGGAAACCAGATAGGCCGCTAAGAGTTGGAACTGACCCATAGCACTTAATTGTGGTTTGTGAAAATAGATTTTTTCCACCAAAGTAGATAGAATTAGTGACTGCATTACATCACCTTTTGTTGACAAAGTGGGTGGCACTGAAAAGAGCCTTTCTAAACTAATTAAAAACCTGGGTTTATGCCCACCCCGCGGATGCCGCAAGCCAGTTGAAAGTCCTTGGGTATAATGGTGACGCGCTTCGCGTGGATGGCGCACAGGTTGATGTCTCCACGAGCTCCACCAGGTAGACTTCGCACGCCTCCTGCAGCGCCATCACGGCCGAGCTCTGGAAACGCAGGTCGGTCTTGAAATCCTGCGCCATCTCGCGAAACAGCCGCTCAAAGGGCAGCTTGTACATCAGCAGCTCGGTGGACTTCTGATAGCGCGGGATCTCGCGCAGCGCCATGGTGCCCGGCTGGTAGCCGTGCGTTTTCTTCACGCTGCCGGTGGCTGGTGAGCTCTTGAGTGCAGCCGTGGTGGGCAACTGCTTGCGAGGCTTTTGGCCGCCGGTGAACTTGGCGAGCGGTCGGCTTATTTCGAGCCATTAAAAACTTTCCTAAACCAGTTTGGTTATGGCAAAAAATAGAAGCAGACCAGGTTCTACCTGAATATATATTTATATATAAAGAGTCGCGCTTTCATTTGGACAAGGCAGTTCCAAAGTGGCTTTCAGTGAATATTGGTGGTGAGGTTCACCCCATAAGTATAAGAATCTTCCTGGCATTGGACATTTCGTCCGCCCCTCCCCTTCAATTGCTTGTGTTTGCCCCCGTTTTCTAGTTTTTATGGTTTTTATCCATTTACTTGCAATGTTCTTTGGCTTTTCTCCGCATAGATTAATCTAAATTATTAGTTTAGGATGACGTATCTAATTTGCTTAATACAATGTTAAATGTTGGCGACTGAAACAGGCTTTCTTGAGATCGATATTTTGAAAAGACGCGCGCTAGAATGTGATTGGTCAGATGATTTTTAACACATTAATATGATTTGCCTCGGTAGATAGAGTTTAACTGTTAGATGGTTTTTCCTTCCTTTTTCTTCTATAGCCTAAGTGCATGCACCACGAACATTAACTCTAAATTAAAGACTTCCCACTTCGTATTACACTTCATATTAGAGCTATATTAACTCTTTTTGGTTTTTCACTGAAATAAAACCCTCATAAAAACACTCCGTGTTTTTACTTCTACTGAGGTTGGGTGAATTCGTTTTATGAAAACACACCAAATTTATCATGTGCCTTCTCAGTAATGCTAAATTCCTATTAAGTAGCAAGGGTAATAAGGCTCATTTGATTGAAGGGGAATTGTTTTCCTATTTACCATTCATTAGAGTTCTACTTCCTAAGGTAGTAGGTTGGGCTTGTAAGAACTTTAGTTGTAAATGATTTTATCCCCTGAAGATGCAAAACAAGTCTTTTCAGCAACCTGTAAAGGTTGTGGTTTAATTGCTTTGTAGGTCATTAACTTGATTTGCATCTAAATTCTCAAGTGACCCAGCAGTTCCCTATCTTCCAAGCCAGTATGGCAATCCTGACTTTGCCCCTTAATTGATTTAAAACAATTCTAACAAATTAAAGTTACTTAGTGTTACAAACTTTTCTACTTGTTTATTGAAAATTTTATTAAACTTAAAAACATATGGCATGGCGAGTTTGAACATGGTTCTGTACCATTTATTTATCTAACTCTTTTAAGGATTACCAGCAACTGTTAAATTGTCATCGAGTCGGTTCCGACCCATAGCAACAGTAATATGACCTGGTGATTCAAACCGACTTTGCGGTTCAGCTCATTACCCCACAGTGCCACACCAGGACCCCTGTGTATGCAGAGAAATGTAAGCCCTTTCAAAGGAACATGTGGTTGGCTCTGAAAAGAGCCTTTGGATGAAAGATGGACTACTTAATGGTCCCAAAAGTCTGGCGAGTTTTTACGATTTATTTGCCCTTCGCCTTGTGGTGACTCTCGGTCTTCTTAGGCAGCAGCACGGCCTGGATGTTGGGCAGGACGCCGCCCTGCGCGATGGTGACTTTGCCAAGCAGTTTATTCAACTCCTCGTCATTACGGATGGCCAACTGCAAGTGACGAGGAATTATGCGTGTTTTCTTGTTGTCCCGGGCAGCGTTTCCCGCCAACTCCAAGATCTCAGCCGTCAAATACTCCAGCACTGCGGCCAAGTACACTGGAGCGCCGGCCCCAACCCGTTCAGAGTAGTTACCCTTGCGGAGCAGGCGATGGACACGGCCCACAGGGAACTGGAGGCCGGCGCGAGACGACCGAGTCTTAGCCTTAGCGCGAGCCTTTCCGCCTTGCTTACCGCGTCCAGACATCTTCAGAGTCTGTCAGGAATATATCTAGATGTGAGAGGGGAAAGTACGCTTACGAATGTCCTTAACGAACACGGAACTATTATACTAGCAAGCGGAATTATAAATTACGCCATTTGATTGGACCAGATAAGCTTTATGCTGACAGCCAATTGCAAAGAAGAACTAGAGCTACCTACTTTGCATAGTAGCATCTACGTAGGAGAGTTTATCCAATGAAAATTTATTTTCTCCTATTGCCTTATTTGCATATTAGCACTACAAATACTATGTTCGTTGCGTTTACATTATGCGGTTTTTTTGGTGGTTTTTTTTTTTTTTTTGCTTTCACTTGAAAACCTAGTCTGTGTTGGTTATGCCTGAGCCAGCAAAGTCCGCTCCTGCTCCGAAGAAAGGCTCCAAGAAGGCTGTGACTAAGGCGCAGAAGAAAGATGGTAAGAAACGCAAGCGCAGCCGCAAAGAGAGCTACTCTGTCTACGTATACAAGGTGTTAAAGCAAGTCCACCCAGATACTGGCATCTCATCCAAAGCCATGGGCATCATGAACTCCTTCGTAAACGACATTTTTGAGCGCATCGCGGGTGAGGCTTCTCGTTTGGCGCATTACAACAAGCGTTCTACCATCACGTCCCGGGAGATCCAGACCGCCGTGCGGCTGCTGCTGCCTGGGGAGTTGGCCAAGCACGCTGTTTCTGAGGGCACCAAGGCCGTCACCAAGTACACCAGCTCCAAGTAATCCAAGTAAGAGTCTTTACCTCCATCCTCAAAGGCTCTTTTAAGAGCCATCTACTTTTTCAAGTTTAAAGAGTTGTAACAATTTTTATGTCTTCACTGGGATTCAAAGACATTACACTCCATTTTTAACACTGAAGTTATTAAGGGTTTGTTTCCTGTATAATGGCAAGATAAAACACAGCCCCCACTGGGACTTTCTGGAAAGGAATACTGTGCTAAATATACATGGACTTTTAATTATACTTAACTATAAAAAACTAGGTTTTTAACTAGGTATATGCTCCAGTGAGAAACAACTTCTTTAAATTCTGTCATTCATTACACATTACATTAAAATGCAAAATAGTAATGGTTTTTAACTCAAAGGTCATTTGGTTTCATTTTGTCACTCAAGGTCCAGACAGGAAAACAAAACAATAAGTTATTTTAACAAAGATCATTTGCTAAAGTTTATACCTGTGTTTGGACTCCTGATGTGGCACTGTAGGATCAGCACAAGACTGCGAACCACAAGGTCTGCAGTTCAAATCCATCATGCTGCTCCTGGGAAACCCTATACAGGGCCTCTATGAGTTGGAACCAACTCAGGGCTCTTAACAACACCAAATGTCTGGGGGGGGGGGTGTTTTGTTTCATAGAAAAGGTTGCCATGAAGTTCATTGTAACTATGGCAAGTTTATTGCACAATAAAATTGTATTTTAAAGGATTTTCATGACTGTGACCTATCAGAAACAGATTGCCAGCCCTTTCCTCCAAGGTACCTCTGGATGGGTCTAAACCACCCACCTTTCTGTTAGGAGTAGAATGCTTCACCTTTTATAACGCCCAGGGGGTGGTAGTAGTGGTGGTGTGCCATAGAGTCAGTTCTAACTTTTATCAACCATGAATAGTGTTTTCGAGGCTGTCAATCTTTCCCGAAGCAGAAAGCCTTATCTTTCTTGTGAAATGGCTGGTAATTTTGAACTGCTGGCCTTGACATTAGCAACCCTACTCATAACCTACCTCTACACTGCCAGAGCATGTTGTTATTGTTATGTGACACTGAGTCGGTTCCTACCCACAGTGACCCTGTATAGGGTTTCCAAGGAGTGGCTGGTGAGCTGGAACCACCAACCTTGCAGTTCAAACCAACCTTACAGTCCAGCGAATTAGCCCGCAGTGCCACACATACGATTAGAAAAAGTAAAAGGGACACTGAGTTGGAAATGACTTGACAGCACTTAACAACAACAAGATGTTTCAGAAACAGTAACTATAGGTAGTCACAGCAGCAGACAGGACTAGGGAACAAAGGAAAAAGTGGCAATATTAGAACCTGAAAGCTTGAAAGGGAAGGCTGTTGACCTAGGGCTCAGAACCTGAGAGAGTGTAATTGAGTCGTTTTCAACCCATAGCGACCCTGAACAGGGTTTCCGAGGCTGTAAACCTTTACAGGAACAGAACGCCTCATCTTTATCCCGCGGAGCAGCTGGTAGTTTCAAACTGCTGTCCTTGAGGTTCACAACCAGATTCGTAACCACTGCTTTACCAGAGCTACTGAATGCTGATATTCAATACATATCAGGACTCTGTGTTCTGAGTCCTGTCTTTAGAAATATTAACTCTACAAGTGGCCGGTGATAAAGAGCCAGTTTTCCACTAACAGCAGGTCAGATGCAGATCAAGAGAGGGGGTGGGAGTAAACCATGCAGGTTTTTGAGCTTTTATTACAATTCCCTAGGGAGAACATGCTGGTTTTTAAGTGCATTCAAGTCAATTCTGAGTCATAGTGACCCTGGTTTGTAGTCCAGCACTGATCCTACAGTAAGGGTTTGTTGTTGTTAAGTCCCGTCTGAGTTGGTTCAGACTCATGAGTTGGTTCAGACTCATAGAGACCCTGTATAGGATTTCCAGTTAGCTGGTGAGTTTGAACCACTGACCTTGTAGTTCAAGCCGACATTGCAGTCCAGTGCTTTATCCCACAACACCACACTAAGACGCCACAGAAGTGGTGTTGTTGTTGTTAATACCGTTGAGTCTATTCTGACCCATAGTGACCCCGTACATGGTTTCTGAGGAGAAACTGGTGAGCTTGAACCGCCGACCTTGCAGTTCAAACAGCTTTGCGGTCTGGCGCATTAACCCACAGCGTCACACCAGGACTCCACAGAAGGGTTACAGATGGAAATACCACCTTCAGACGTATATAGATCCAAATAGAAGATAGGTTGAGAAACAGTATCTTTACACTTTGATATTTTTGTTTAATAAATGTTTCTATTATTTTGAAGTAATATGTTTTTTACTTGCCCTCATTCACAGGAATCAAATTAACTACAACTATCCACAGTCAGCAAGGCAACGGGTCGACTATGAAACCAACCATCGATTGCTCATTCGCAAATTTAAGTTGAAGCTGAAGAAAATTAAAATAAGTTCACAAGAGCCAAAATATGACCTTGACTATATTCCACCTGAATTTAGAGATCATCTCAAGTAAAAATGTGACACATTGAGCACTAATGACTGAAGACCAGATGAATAGTGAGATGATATCAAGAAAACATCATCTTCATACATGAGGAAAGCAAAAGGTCATTAAATAGGTAGCAAAGAAACTAAATACCCTGGGTTGAGTTAGGCACTCCTTAGTCTTCAATGTAACATCTTTGATGCTTAACACTTTGAAGACGTCTTTTGCAGTCGATTTGCCCAATGCAAAACATCATTTGATTTCTTGTTACTTGGACATTGATTATGGATCCAGGTAAAATTAAATCCTTGAAAATTTCAATTTTTTCTCCATTTATCATGATATTGTTTACTGGTTCATTTCTACAAATAATTTTGTTTCTTTCAGTTGTAATCCACACTCAAGGCTGTAGTCTTTGATCTTCATCAGCAAGTATTTTCAGTCCTCTTTGCTTTTCAGCAAGTAAGGTTGTGTCATCTGCTTTTTGCAGGCTTTAAATGAGCCCCTCCAATTCTAATGTCACATTACAGAACCAGCCCTGCAGGAACGGGTTTCTGGAGGCGGATAGAGAATTGAAAAGTGGCAGTGGACTCACGATGGTCAGTCGAGAGTGACTTTATTATTCTACAATACAGCTTTAAGTACAATCTTAGGTAGGAGACGTATCTGGACAGCTCATCAATCTAAGGTTTATGGTTACCAAAGTAACCTTTAAGTACAAAGCTAAGAGTGAACAATAACGAGATAAAGATCAAGTACATAGTAACTATTTTCCCTAATTACAGACCCTACCCCAGGCTGTTAGGTCAGCATGATCCCAGCCCAGCACTGATGGTAAGCAAGGTTTTCCCTTTGCTGCAGAAATGGGTCCACCAAATTTCAAAAAAGAGCTGGACTTTCTTGTTTGCGAATTTCCATGTGTTCGTTTCTTTGTTTCTCTTTTCCCATGTTGCATAAGCATCTGGCATCCATGATTCAATCCATTGCAGAGACATCTATGGTACATGGCATAATTGTCCACACACGGGCCTTTCTGTGTCTGATGGTGCCACGAAGTTTTGAACATGAGCTGAAAACTGGTTAAGGGGGAAGTTAACAGGTAGCTTGAGTTTGCTGATAGTTAGCATCCCTACTGGGTAGCTGAAAAGGGAGGGAGAGGTGACAAACCCCATTGGATTCCAGATGCAAGGACATCATTTTTTGTTGTTTTTTATTTTGTTTATATTGCCCTCCAGACAAGGAGGATTTTCTTTTTATGGTTCTATTGATCTTTCTCACTGCTGCCATACTGATATCACACTACTGAGTAATTTTCCTCCTGTACCCTCAACCTTCTGTCCCTGATGTAGCTGAAAGTTGACCAGTTCTTGAAGTAACTGAATGTTGACCAATTCTTTCTGGTACAGTAACTGTGTCTCTTCCATCTTTTGATGCTTTCCTGCATCGTTCAATATCTTGACTATCGAATTCTTCAGTATTGCAATTCAAAGCTTGAAGTTTTTCTTCAGTTCTTTCAGCTTGAGAAGGTGTTCTTCCTTTTTGGTTTTATAGCGCCAGGTATTTGACATTTAATAATAATAGTAAACATTGTCTTCTCAAACTGCTCTTTAAAATGTTGCTTTTTAGTAGGATCAAAGGTACACATTAGTCACTTAAGCTGGTTGCACAAAGTAATTGTGAAAGAAGCTTTTCTTTTTCTCAGCTATGGTACAGGGTGGGATACACAGAGTAGAAGTTTAAAATCTGCCAAAGTGGACCTGCCTGGCCTGGGGGAGACTGGTAGTAGGTAGGGTCCCACTCAAATCCTTCTCCCATGGTACAAATGTGTCATCTCTGGCCGGAAAGTTTTTGATAGTGCACGGCTTGTGATGAAACTTTTCTGATTGTAGGTTGTCTGATTGTAAGTAACAAAAGCTACTTTCTATGTGCTAACAACATGTCTTCAGACTCTGATTGGAAGGATGTAATGTCTATGGAGCAATCCATATTAGTGATTGGTGTCCTTTTTCCAATGGCCTCCTGGCTATCTAGAAATTGGGTTTAACCTGAGAGCACCAAATAGATTTGGAGTGTTGTCTTACAGTTAAGGCATGGTCAAGCAGGATATGTTATCGGAAAACTCCAAGCTCAGCTGTAACTATCTTACTTAAAAATTAACTTAGAACCATATTAATTACAAGTGAAATGGGGCACTGAAAAACCCCCTAGGTATTAAAAGGGTTTTTAGCCTGGCCAAAGCAAAATATAAAAGTCCCAAATGGCCATCATGCCATCCTAATATAAAATTTTAATTAGTAGTCAAATTCTACCCCTCGCACTATCTCTGGAAGGACTATGAAAGGAATGGAAGAAAAATAACATCTTCAATGGGCGCTGATAATCACCACCTAGAGAAATTAATGGTGCCTGCTGGAGACAGCTGGGCTAGGACATTAGCAGGACCTTGAATAAACAGACAACAGAGAGTTCCTGAAGTCCCTAGGGCCCCTACCTACCTCAGGGCCCCTACATCATACCTGCAATCCCTATAAAACTCCCCCCTTTTTCCTTGAGAAAGATCTGGGAGATTTTCTACTCTCCTGTTTCCCTGAGTTTCAGTACTCTACATACACTTTGCTCTTTGTTCTGAGTCCTGTCTCTGAATATTGGTTGCGTCACTGGCAGGTGATAACTGTTTTTCTAGTAACACATATGTGCACAAGACCACACAACCTGAAACCCACTTATAACAGAACCCCTTTCATCAGGCATCTGAGAAAAATCTTGGGACTGTTGAGAGCTTTTAGATGCGACTTTAAAATATGTCCTGGGGTGGAGCTGTAAAATAAGTTCTGCACTGCTAACCATAAGGTGGGCAGTTCAAACCCATGAGTCACTCCTCAGAACCGATTCACTGGCACTTAACAACAATAATGTTATTATACTGAGACTGAGACACTTGTGGAATTTGAAAGGAACCTTGACTTTTAAATATCTCTTAAATCAAGGGTTTTTGTGAGTGTACAGGTAGCAAAAGTGAAGTCAGTATTTGTCACGGTGCTTTAATAAGACTAAAGCATCAAAACCTGACATAATTAAACCCTAATTTAGAATTGTTGCTGTTAAGTGTCATCAAGTTGCTTTGGACTTATAGTGACCAAGTACAGGATTTTCTGAGGAGCAACTGGTGAGTTTGAACTTCTGACCTGCAATTAGCAGTAGAGTGCTTATCCTACAGAGCCACACCAGGATAGAGCTACAAAAACATGACCTCCATCAACCTAAGTGGATATCTACCTGAGAAGGATGTGCCACTCCCTCATCCCAGCCTAAGAGCTTGGCGCTGGAGATGATTGATGCTACCTGCTATTCCCTACTATGCTGGAGGTGACTTCACTCCTGTACTCAGAGCAGCTTCATGCAAGGGCTGTCTCTCCTAAGGAGAAATAAACTGGGCACTTCAGATTTGTTTTCTTAGTCAATACCATATAAATGGTATACTGATTGTGGGCTGATCTACAAAGACTTCTGGTGCTTGTACTTGCCTCCCTCCTTTTTATCTTCAAGATTGTCATATTGTATAGAACAACTTATATCCTGTTCCCTGGGAATCTCCTCTAGCATTCAGGACAACTATTAACCCAAACGGAGTCCTGGAGTGATGCTGTAGGATAATCATGAGACTGCTTGATTTAAATAGAGGTTGTTTGAAGAGACCATTATGTCTTTCAATTAAACTATCTTGCATTGGACCGACCAGGAAGATGAAAGTTTCATTAATGTCTTTTGCAAGAGCCCGGTATTACATATTCTGAAAAGTGAAATGTGTGCTGTGGTCATTATGAGAGTTTCTATGGACACTAGCTGGAGTGTCTGTTGATTTTAATTTGAACAGATTCTAGAGTTTTGTTGAAGACTACATTCAAGGTGGGCCTCTTTATAAACAGCAGCATTAGTAAGATTAAGTAAAATTCGTAAATAAGAAATATTTCCTGCTTTCCAGGAGTCCTGGTGTGGTGCTGTAGGAAAAGCACTGGACTACTAACCGCATGAACAGGTCCGCTGTTAATACCCAGCAACTTTCCTTGGAAACCCAATGCGGGGTCACTACGAGTCAGAACTGACTTGACAGCACTAAACAACCACATATCGCTTTCATAACCCAGAAGGGTTATGAAATGTAATTAATCATTGTGTAAAGCAATCTCTGAGAATATTATCAGTATAATATTATACCACTATCACTTAGGATGTCATTAAGAACTTGCCTGCCAAGATGTTATGAAAGAAAGTTATTATGCTCAATATTGTTGGTAGTTGCTTTGCAGTCAATTCTGACTTCTGGAGACCTCATGTGTACAGAGTAGAACTGCTGCTCTCTAGACTTTACAGGGCTGTGACACTTCAAAAGTACATTAATCACCAAACCTGTGTTCCTAGGTGCCTCTGAGTGGGTTTGAAATGCCAAACTTTCAGCTAGTAGTGAGGCATGTAGCCATTTGTGCCACATGAGGACTCCATTAAGTTTCCAAGAAAAGGGAGACACGGCACACCACCATGCAGTCACAAGAAGAAAGCTGAGGTGAAAACGGAATAGGGAGAGAGGAGCTATGGGCAAAAGCCTTTATTATTTGTCACGTAAGGATGGAAACAGAGAGGGAGAAATTTCCAGTTGATTGGGAAAAGAAACTTAAATATGTTTAGCTATTTCTCCTTGCCAGCCAGTGACTTTGTGACCTGCGGAGATCTAGCAAGAAAAAAAAATAGACTTAGTCTTCTGAGGTTACGAGGAGATGCCAAAGCATCAAATGCAGAACCAATTATAAATTTATGGTGGCATTCCATGACTTTTGCACATTCTGTTGGTGACTGCTAGGTAGCCTGTAAAATCTCAGCTTCTTTGGTATCATGCCTTTGTATGTCCTCTCTCATGAATATGGGTTGGGTTTATTTGATTCTGAGTGGAATGCAGAAGTGGTGAGGTAATTTGAAAGGATTACTTTAAAGGATTATGTCTGCCATTTTGTTATGCCTCTAGCTCTCTCCATATTTTAACTGTCATTTTTGGAGAGGACTGTTTCAAGCATGAATGAAGATCTAATCAAAACAGGAGATATGATTTGGAGATTAATTGTGTGAAAGAGAAAGTGGCAAGGAAAACTACTTTAGGCACAACTTCATCTCACTTCTGACGTTTTATCTGGAATGATCAAATACTGAAGGACTTCATGATTTGTAAAGTGATAGTTCAGCAAAAATAAGTAGGACCAATGAGATTGACTGGGCTACAATGACCTTAAATATACCCTACTATTGGGATGAGGGTAGAGACCTCAGCTAACATTATTCATGAGTCCTAGTGTGGCACTATGGATTGGTGCTCCAGGCTGCAAAATAGATCAATCTCAACAGATGCTCCTCAAAAACACTTTACAGGGTAACTATGAGTTGGAAGCAATTGACAGCACCTTACAGCATTCATGGAAAAGCTAGGAGTTGAAGAATTAACTTGCTGGCACTTACTGCAAACAAAATAATAACGCTCTTAAAGGTCTTCAACACGTTACAAAGAACGCAACAGCTGTTCCCAAATACTTATAGTTGACTATTTGAAATACTGTTACAACTCTTTAGGCGACAATTTAAGTGGCTCTTAAAAGAGCCTTTGGATTTGACGGTGTCCATGCTACCGTTTACTTGGAGCTGGTGTACTTGGTGACGGCCTTGGTACCCTCGGACACGGCGTGTTTGGCCAGCTCTCCTGGTAGCAGCAAGCGCACGGCGGTCTGGATCTCCCTGGACGTGATGGTAGAACGCTTGTTGTAATGCGCCAGTCGAGACGCCTCACCTGCGATACGCTCAAAAATGTCGTTCACGAAGGAGTTCATGATGCCCATAGCCTTGGACGAAATGCCGGTGTCAGGATGGACCTGCTTCAGCACTTTGTACACGTAGACAGAGTAACTCTCCTTGCGGCTGCGCTTGCGCTTCTTGCCATCCTTCTTCTGGGCCTTAGTGACAGCCTTCTTAGAGCCCTTCTTGGGAGCAGGAGCAGACTTCGCTGGTTCAGGCATGATGAGAGCTTTAACCTTTCTAAAGAAAGTCCAAAATGCTCGCTCGGGGTTACGTTCTCGTCTTTTATAGCACTTCTATGCAAATATAGCCTTGTTAAGTCTCTAATCTGATTTGATAATATAGTAGTGGGTGTCGAATATGCAAATTTCATTGCGCTGGATCTGCTTTCTTATTGGTTGTCTAGTTGAAAGACGACTTTAACCAATCCAACTTCTCCTTCAACACATCCATCTAGCACTATAACAGGCTTCGTAACGCTCCTTCTCAGCCACTTCATATCTGCACTTGCCTTTGCTTGTTGCGTTTGTGTTTTTATCCTAACATGTCTGGACGCGGCAAGCAAGGCGGCAAGGCTCGCGCCAAGGCTAAAACGCGATCTTCCCGCGCCGGTCTCCAGTTCCCCGTGGGCCGTGTGCATCGTCTGCTCCGTAAAGGGAACTACTCCGAGCGGGTTGGGGCTGGCGCTCCGGTGTATCTGGCAGCTGTGCTGGAATATCTGACAGCCGAGATCCTGGAGTTGGCGGGGAACGCCGCCCGTGACAACAAGAAGACGCGCATCATCCCCCGCCATCTTCAGCTGGCCATCCGCAATGACGAGGAGCTCAACAAGCTGTTGGGCCGCGTGACGATCGCGCAGGGTGGTGTCCTGCCCAATATCCAGGCTGTACTGTTGCCTAAAAAGACCGAGAGCCACCACAAGGCAAAGGGCAAGTGAAATGTTTCTCTTCGGCCAACCCGTGAATACCTAAAAAATCAAAGGCTCTTTTCAGAGCCACCCACGTTTCCTAAAAAGTGCTGAAATGCAATTTTACTGTTTAGTAGTGAGCATAACGTATTTAAGAGCATTAAAATCTCCAAACGTATAAGTAGCTACTTGTTAAGTACTGTGGGGTCGGTTCCGACTCAAGTGACCCTGTAGCGTTTCCGAGGCTGCAAATTACGGGAGCAGCATGCCACATCTTTCTCCCGCGGAGCAGCTGGAGCTAGTAGTTTCGAACTGCAACCTTGAGGTTAGCAACCCTATTCGTAACCACTACGTAAACTAGCCAATCAAGTTTTTTAATGGAATACAAAGTGCTTGTCCCAGTTATTCGACCCAATTAAACCAGTTCATCTTTAAAAGCCATTGCATACATTTTAGCTGCCATAAATTAAACCTTTTCGTACAACACAATATTTGTTTCCCTGCGCGCTACACTAAAACCTTCATCTGGTGATTTTGTTTTTGGAAGGAATAACTTGCATATAATACGTCTGTAAACTATCTAAATAGTATCAAACAGCACATTGTTTTCTGAATCTGTCGATGTATATAAGCACATATACTTAGGAATAGTTCGTATACTGCATATTCATATCAACTTGCAGTCATAAGAGCTTTACATAAGAGAAAAAAAATGAGAGAACAAAGAAGTATAGTTGACCAATCACATTTCAGGGCGGGCCTTTTAAATTAGGGGATGGAGGCATAGCTACCAATGAAGAGGGGGTGTTAAATGGTCGGTTACTTTTTAAAAAGGCAAGGAATGAAATACACTAAAATCAAGCTTAAATTAAACCTCACTTTTGTTGACTGAATTTTTAAATGAACTAAACTCGAAAGAAAATTTGATTGTACATTCGATCTTCAATGGAAATCCAATCACATTTTTCCGGAAATCATCAGAACCAATTAGCTCACAGCGCGGGTCATATGAAAGGGACTGATCTGTTCCTATAAATAGGTCAGGACCTGCACAGTATAACTCTACAACAAACGCCTACTTCAGTTTTGTCCTCATGGCTCGTACCAAGCAGACCGCTCGCAAGTCCACCGGCGGCAAGGCGCCGCGCAAGCAGCTGGCTACTAAGGCAGCCCGTAAAAGCGCACCGGCCACCGGCGGCGTGAAAAAGCCGCATCGCTACAGGCCAGGCACTGTAGCGCTGCGCGAAATCCGGCGCTACCAGAAATCCACCGAGCTGCTAATTCGTAAACTGCCCTTCCAGCGGCTGGTTCGCGAAATCGCTCAGGACTTCAAGACCGACCTTCGCTTCCAGAGCTCAGCCGTGATGGCGCTGCAGGAGGCGTGCGAGGCCTACCTGGTGGGGCTCTTTGAGGACACCAACCTGTGTGCTATTCACGCCAAGCGCGTCACCATTATGCCCAAGGACATTCAACTAGCCCGCCGGATCCGCGGGGAGAGGGCATAAAATTTGGCTGTCAATTATACTTCTGACTTTTAAAAAAGGCTCTTTTAAGAGCCACTCATTTTGTCAACAAAAGGTGCTGTAATGTCACTTAATTTTGCCTAATATCTAAAGGTTATCTTATGTATTTTTAATTTCTGACTTATAACCAAGGTTTCTTGGAGCATGTAATTTGCCATTGTCGAGTTTGACTCGATATTCTATAGGATCATTGCCATCTCTTTTCTCCCCTAGTACTTGGGTATGTGTTCAATACCATCCAGTCGATTCCTTAGAATGACCCTGTATTGGGTTTCAAAGGAGTGTCTAGTAGAGTTTGAACAGTCAGTCTTGCAGTTAGCAGTGCTTATCCTGCAGCACCACACCAGGACAAGGGTATGAGTTGTTGCTGTAAATGCTGTCAAGTAGGTTCTGACTCAGCAACCCTGAGTAGGCTTAGGAGCAGATGGCAGGTTTGTTTGTTTTTTTTAATCAAAAGGAGGGGCAGATGCTTTTGTGGGCACTTGCACCTTACTATACAGCTTTATCTCTATTGTTTAGAGGGTCTGTAGACACAAAAATGATTGTGCTTATGCTTTTTATAAATTCTTGTGATTTTTGGTGATGGTTTATACAACAAATTAGGTTCTCATTTAATAATTTCTATACATATTCTTCAGTGACACTGGCTACATTTTTCAACAATGTGTCATTCACATTTCCATTCTGCTGGTTCTGTTTCCATTAATCTAGCTTTCCTGCCTCCCCCTACATTTTCCTTTTCATCTTTGTTTTGCACTTAGTATTTTCTGATTGGTCCTGTATAGATGATTATGTAAAACAGCACAGTACTCATGAATGATATTATTTATTTTACGGGTTAAGCTATCATTTAGATGAAAGATTATTTTGGGGAGTGGTTTCTGTTCCAAGTTTTTATTGCATCTCAGGCCAATAGTCTTGGGGGTTCCAAGTTTAAATTGTATCTCATGGTAATAGTCTTGAGTTTTTGTTGTTGTTGTTGTTGTTGTTGGGATTTGAGCTTTATTCTACATTTTATTCCATTCCATCTAAGACCATATATTGTGTCCTTAGTGGTAGCCAGGCACCATCTAGCTTTGGTTTCAGTATTCCTGTATGACAGTTAGTCCTGTAGACTAATTTCATTCTTGAGTCTTTGGTTTCCTTCTTCTATTGCTTCAGATGACTACAGACCAATAGTTGTATCTTAGATGGCTACTCAGATGCTACTTACCAAACTGGTATATAAAACAAATTTAAAACTTTATATAACATATATACAGTTTATGAAAAATGCTATGACATTTGACTGAACTGTCCCATTAGTCTATCGTGCTAAGCCTTCAAATCCAGTATATAAATCATGCAAGATGTTTGTTATGCCTAGACAGTATATATAACTGTGCCCATATGTGCTTTATTTTATATATATGCATATGCTACCTACATATACAGCACACACAAACATGTATGTACATATACATGGACAGCCATATACTCACAAGTACCTTCCTATGCATAAACATGCATACATACAAACATGTGTGGTGCTGTTAAGTGCCTCAAAGTCAGTTCTGACCCATAGCAACCATATATAGGGTTTCTGAGGAATGGCGGTTTGTGGGCTTGAACCACCGAACTTGTGTTTCAAACCAACTTTGCAACCCAACACATTAATCCACAGGGCCACAAGCCACACATATATTATTTGGTTGTTGTAGAAGTAATTCTTGAAGTTTGGAGTAATGGTTAAGGAAACCACATTAGATCAATAGTTTTAAAATAAGCTTTGGTTCCCTTAGATAGGCCTCAATAACCCAAAAATGGACCATATTTTATTTTTTCAGATGGAGAAATTGGTCTTGTTCTGTACACTTATGGTGTGTTGATGGCAAAGGTGGTTTGCGACTGGTTGCTATCCAAAGGTCTTAGATTTAAACCCACCAGTTGCCTGGGAGAAAAACCTACTGTCTTTTTATGAAGTCCTGGTTTGACTCTGTAGGATAAGCAGTAAGTTGCTAACTGCAAAGTTGACAGTTCAAACCCCTCAGAAACTCTATGTAGCGTCACTATGAGTCATAACCAACTCAATGGCACTTAACAACATCTATTTTGCAGAAGATTATAGTCAAGAAAACCTACAGAGCAGTTGTACACTGTAATACGTGGGTCAGAAGTGATGTCACAGCAATGGCCTTGAGTTTCAGGCAACCTTACTGCATTTGTCAGAGTCCTGGTGTGGCATTGTGGGTTAATGTGCTGGACTACAAAGTTGGTTTGAACCAAAAAGTCAGAGGTTCAAGCTCACCAGCCAGTCCTAGGAAACCCTTTATAGGGTCCAGAGTTGGAACTGACTCATTGGCACATGACAACAACTGCAGTTGTTTGTGTTAAATTCAAAATAATAAAACAATCCTCCTGTAATGAAATGCTTCTAATATTTAATTCATCAGAAGAGAATCATAAGGGAGATAAACCAAGGTACAACAGGAATATATAGTTTATAAAAGATTGACTAAGATGAGAAGAGAAAATACAGATGAAAAAAGATTAATGTGCTATGCGGCAATTATATTATAACCTTTGGGTTAGCTTTTTTAATGACATGATAACATTCATCTGTAATGGATAAAACTCATTGCAATTTATGATTATCCTACAAATTAAAACTTTAGATTCTAAGAAATAATCAAATGGGAAATGCATTCCATAGAATATTAAAAAATTAAAGAAAAAAAACTTGGGCATATTTATTTGATTATGCTGCCATGTGACATACAACATGCATCTATCCTCAATTAGAAGTTTTACTTATTTCTTAACAGGTCTAAGAATTGTCCTTTTATGACCAGCATCCTTCATTTGATGTTTTCAGTGACCCCATTCAAAATGAGGAATCTGAATGAAATCCACTTACTTTATAGCACACAACAAAGAATACCAAAGGACCAATTCCTCACCTGTTGTTAAGTACTGTCAAGTCGGTTCCAACACATAGCAACCCTATATAGGATTTTCAAAGAATGGCTTGTGAACTTGAACTTGGGATTCAAATAGACCTTTTGATCAAGTGCTTATCCTACAGCACACGCCAGGACTTCTCTCCTAGCCCTTTTCTCCCAACCAAGACTCATGTCCTCTTGTTTACCTTGTTTCCTTCTATTTTCAAAAAGATAAAATAATGATTTCAAAAATACAAATTATGCTTGGGTCAAATGTTTAACACATGAATGAATAAGACAACAGTTATAATGTTACTATATGTTGAAAAAGCATTTAAGAAGTCAATAATCATAGACAATTTTGCAAAGAAATGTTAGGTTAAAACAAAATTAGAAATGCCAAGATGCTTTTGTACTAGGTAAAAATCTACGTTTTAACAATTAACATCATTAAATCTGATACCTTCCATCCAGTTAGCAGTGAAATGAACAGCATACATTTCCCTACTGGATGGCACTTCACAAAAACATGATTTCTAGTATAGCAGTTCCCCTGCCCCACTACTACAATGATTCCTTTCTCTTTAACCCTTTTCTTTCTGAATATAGCTTTGCCTACATGTAGGTTTTGTTAGAAAATAATGCAAGCAACATAAGTTAATTAATAACTTACAGCAATCATAGTATGACAAGTAAAAAGGGAGTTGAAATAATTTTACTAGTATATTGTATTTAAATCAAAATATCCAGAATATAACCATTTCACCATGTAATCAATATAAAAACATTTTTGGTACAATATTTCCCATTACTTTTTATCATACTGAACTTTGAAATTCGGTGTATACTTGATTCAATTTGGTGATAAATTTCTATTGCAAATACTTTACAGTTGAAATAATTAGCATGACCATATTGTTCAAACATAACTAAAAGCTTCCAGATTTAAATTCATTAAAATTACACAAAATTAAAATTCTGTTCTTCAGCCTCATTTCAAAAAGCAGCATGTGACTTTGACTACCATATTGCACAATGTAATACAAAAGGGGAGATTACAGTTGCAGTGATGGAGGCAGCTGGTTAAATTGGAGTTTATTGCTATCACGTTTTATGGTAACCCCATGTGTGCAAGTCTGACCTTACAGAAGCAGATCCATAGGCTTGTCTTCCTCTGGGTGGTGTTGAGTCACCAAATTTTGGCCTAATAATCAAGGTCTTGGAGTCCTGGTGTGGTGCGGTGGGCTAATATGCTGGAATGAAAAGTCAGTCTGAACCGCAAAGTGGTGATTCAAACTCACCAGCTGCACCTAAGAAAACCTATATAGGGTCACTATGGGTCGGAACCAAGTGGACTTAACAATAACAATCAAGCTCTTGGAGTTCTGGTGTGGTGCCAGAGGATAAGCACTGGATTGCTCACAGCAAGGTCTGTAGTCAAACCCACCAGCTGCTCCTCTGAACAGGGTCACTATGATTCAGAACAACAACTAAACCACTGCACCACAAAGGATTCCTAAAATGAATACAGATTTAAATGTAATCATGTAAATTGAGCACTGATATCCAAAATGAAAGAATTACACATTTACTTGAATCTAGAATATGCAAAATAGATTGAGAGGGACTTTAGGTCAGGTGATGGGATTTCCTCAAGTAATTACAATGATTGCCAACTACTATGAACATTTTACCCAAATTTTACCTTTTGATTATCAAAATACCTTTCTACTTTAATGTCCCTGTCTTCATCTTTTGGTTAGAAAAGTTAATCCATATGACAGGGTTCAAAGACTTCATGGATAATGGAATTTTCCCACTAACTTTTTGAAGCCCCCTCATGCGGGCTTTCTACTCAAAAAATAAAGACACTAAGTTAAAATATAAGATAACACATCAGATGTCACATACTAGATCCTAGCGCTGTAAAGGTGAGAGGAATCGAGAGGATAAACAGGGGGTACGCAGCTCTGGTAGTGTAGCGGTTACGACTTGGGCTGCGAACCTCAAGGTCAGCAGTTCAAAACAACCAGCTGTTCCACCATGAGGCTTTCTGCTCCTGTAAAGATTTACAGTCTTGGAAACCCTGTACAGGGTCGACTATGAGTGGGAACCCACTCCACGGCACATAACAACACGTTATCTAGTTTTAACAAACACCCCAGCTCATTCACACATATTACACAAAATGCTTCCTTTCTCTCCTCTCTTGGCAGGACCATTTTACCAAGCTCACTGGTTATTTTACTTTAATTTGCAGAGCATAAGGTTTCTAGGAGTCCTGGTGTGACATTGTGGGCTAATGCGTTAGACTGCAAAGTCATTGGAACTGCAAGGTCGGTGCTTCAAACTCACCACCTGCTCCTTTGAAACCCTATGCAGGGTCCATCCCTATGGGTCGGAGTCGACTCGACAGCACTTACTAACAAGAAGGCTTCTCGGGGAGGAGTGAGAAGACGCCTTTACTTTTCACATTCCGAGGTTAAAATGCATGGTAATGTAGAACTTCAGTTGATGACTTGACTAATGTGTGCAAGGAGTCTTGGTGTGGCTAAGAATAAGCACTGGAGCACAAGATCGCTTTTGAACTGCAAGGTCGGTTGTTCAAACTCACCAATCTCTCCTCAGAAACCCTATACAGGGTCGCTATGAATCGGAACCGCCTCGACAGCATTTAACAACAACGTATGCTAGAATCCTATCTCAAAATTGAAAAATAGTTATTACTTTAATAAGTGTAATCGTTTCAAACCCTTAAACAGGAGGATTTTTCTTTTAACAGGGAGTGTTACAGACAGTTCAAAGCAAGAGCATGGAAACAAAGAAACCTTTTCTTCCAGGCCACTGCAACTTAGACTGAAGCTGAGAGGCCTTTGTGGGCGGGGATAAATTCCATATCCATCTCACTCCTCCCACCTACCTACCACTTCCGCATTTGTAGTTCTCAACAAGGTCCGCTATGGGGCTATATATCTATGAACCTTGCTTTCTTCAGCTACACGTTTTTGGGAGTTTGTCTTCTTCACCATGTCTGGTCGTGGTAAGGGTGGCAAGGGCTTGGGAAAAGGCGGCGCTAAGCGCCACCGGAAGGTCCTGCGTGACAATATCCAGGGCATCACCAAACCTGCTATCCGGCGCTTGGCCCGACGAGGTGGCGTAAAACGTATCTCGGGTCTCATTTATGAGGAGACTCGCGGGGTCCTCAAGGTCTTTCTGGAGAACGTGATCCGGGACGCCGTTACTTACACGGAGCACGCCAAGCGCAAGACTGTCACTGCCATGGATGTGGTCTACGCGCTCAAACGCCAGGGCCGCACCCTCTACGGATTCGGCGGCTAAGCTGAATTTGCAGGAACCATTAATGCGCAACGCTAAAGGCCCTTTTCAGGGCCACCTCTCTACTCACCAGGAAGAGCTTAACTGCATTCTAATGGTTTCTTTTTTCTTTAAATCTAAAGAATTAAACATAAGCTTTCAATATATCTTTCAACAATATAAGTCTTTGGGAGCTAAATTTAACTGCTTTGATAGTTATGTGCCATGGAGTCAGTTTCTGCACAGCGACCCTGCATAGGGTTTCCAAGGCTAAATCTACAGGAGCAGAAAGCATCTTATGTGGAACTGCTGGCTATCTCTCGAAGTTAGCAGCCCGATTCGTAAACACTATACTACCAAAACATGTATACTGCAAAAAATATTTTGGAAACATCCTAATTATTGCCCCCCCCCCTTTGTTTTTTTTTTTTTTTTTGGATAGTCGAATTCTAGTTGCATTAAACCTGTCTCAGAAAACAATAGTTTTCAATGACTAGTTTACGTGGACAGGTTGTCTTACAGGCTTATAAATTTTGTGACTGGTTCTAAATCTTAATATGTCTGAGTACGTATAATAGGATAAAACTGCTGACCTTAAGGTTCACACCCCGATTCGTAACCACTAAGCTACTTGTTATGTGCCCTGGAGTCGTTCCGACTCATAGCAACCCTGCACAGGGTTTCCGAGGATGTTAATCTTTGTTGTTAAATGCTGTCGAGTCGATTCCGACCCATAGCGACCCTGTAAAGGGTTTCCAAGAAGCAGCTGGTGAGCTTGAACCACCGACCTTGCAGTTCAAACGACTTTGCAGTCTGGCGCATTAGCCCATGACTTTGCAGTCTGGCGCATTAGCCCACAGCGCCACACCAGGACTCTTGAATTCAAATTCCAATGCTGGCCTTACAGTCCCACACCTGACAGTCCATGGTATATTAAGTATTCTGCCAATTCTTTGGTCTTACTTATTTTTCACAGGCACATGGGGTAATTGAAACTGCCATGGCTTAAGTCAGGCACATGTTAGTTTTCAAAGTGGCATCTTTGCTCTTTAAAACTTTAAAGAAATCTATTGCAACAGATTTGCCCCATCTATATATAGTTTGATTAAGGGCCTCTGGTAGTGCAGTGGTGACGAATCGGGCTGTGAACCACAAGGTCAGCTGTTTGAAACTACAAGCTGCTCTGTGGGAGAAAGAAGAGGCCTTCTGCTCCCATAAAGATTTGTAGCCTCGGAAACCCTATACAGGGTCACTATGAGTGGGAACCGACTCCACAGCACATTACAACAACAAATGTGTATAGTTTGATTAATTTAAAAAAAAAAAAAAAAACCCACCTTACATTGTGAATTGAGTGAAAGTTTCCAGTTTACATTCAACAAATCATATACTTGGTTTCATTACAATGATTGTAGGCCCCTGCATGTATCATCAGTTACCAGAATTTACTTCTATTCACTTTAAGATTTGCAGCCTCAGAAACCCTGTGCAGGGTCACTATGAGTCGGAACCAACCCCACGGTACTTAACAACAACAACAATCCTAGTGTGGTACTATGGGTTGATACTCTGGACCGCAAAGTCGGTTTGAACTGCAAGGTTGTTGCTGCTCCTTGAAAACCCTATACATGGTAGCTATAACACCCTCTACCCAGTGAATCATTTTCCCTTTCTTCCCACCCCTGGTAACTATCACAGAATGTTTCTTTTTTTTTTCTTTTTTTTTTTTTTTCACAACAGTGGTCTCATATAAAATGTGTCCTTTTGTGATTGACAAATTTCATTCAGTATAATGTACTCTGGTGTCCTGGTGTGGTGCTGCACTGAACAGGAAAGTTGGTTTGAACCACAAGGTTGGTTTGAGCCACAGGTTCAAACCCACCAGCTGCTCCTTGGAAACCCTAGACAGAGTCACTATGAGTCTGAGTAGATTCGATGGCACTTAATAACATAATGTACTCCAGGTTCTTTCATGTTATGTGCTTCACAGACTGTAGTTTGATTTCTTGTCTGCTGCTTAGAAAGGTACTGATTATGGATCCAAGCAAAATGAATTCCTTCAAAATTTTCTCCTTTTATCATGACATTACTTATAGTCCAGTTATGAGGATTTGTGTCTTCTTTATGTTGAAGTCTTTGAATTTTATCAGTAAGTGCTTCAAGTCCTCTTCACTTTCAGCAATCAAGTTTATATAATTTGCATATCACCGGTTGTTAATGAGTCTGAACCACTATGCTATTATTCTAAAAAAAATATTCTTACATGCTCTCCCTTACTGCCATCTTCTCCAAGTCTTCACATTGTAAAAGTTCTCTTGACATTAAACCATGGCAGTGGCATCACTAGGGTTGATAATTCATAGTAACTATGATAACTCATAGTGACCCTGTATAAGGTTTCCAAAGAGCTACTGGTGAAATTAAACCACTGACAGTCCAGTTCTTATCCTATAGCGCCACAGCAGGACTCCTAAAGCACGTTGTTGTTAAGTACCATCCAGTCACTTCTGACTCAGAGCGAACCTGTACAGGGTTTAAGAGGAGCCCCTGGTGGATTTGAACCGCCTACCAGTGCAGTGTGGTCCTACAGCGCTACACCAGGTGGCCGCATTTCATTTGTTGTTAAGTGCTGTCGAGTCGGTTCTGACCCATAGAGACCCTGTAGAGGGTTTCCAAAGAGCGACTGGTGAGCTTGAACCACCAACCTTGCAGTTCAAACCTACTTTGTAGTCTACCGGATTAACCCACAGCACCACACCAGGACACTAGGTGCCGCATTGGTGGTGGAGGTGGTTATGTGATGTGGAGTCGGTTCTGCCTCACAGAGATCCTGTACAGGGTTTGTTGTTGTTAAGTGCCGTCGAGTAAGTTCTGACCCATAGCGACCCTGTATAGGTTTCCAAGGAGCAGCTGATGAGCTTGAACTACTGACCATGCAGTTCAAATGGCTTTGCAGTCTGGAGCATTAACCCACAGCGCCACACCAGGACAGGGTTTCACCAGGCTGTAAATCCCGCGGAACAGCTGGTAGTTTCGAACTGCTGATGTTGCGGTTCGCAACCCGATTCGTAACCACTGCGCTACCAGAGTTCCTTAGGCGCCGCATTGTTGTTGTTAAGTGCCGTCGAGTCGGTTCCGACCCATAGTGACCCTGTACAGGGTTTCCGAGGGCCGCATTAGAAGGTTGAAAAAGTAAATTCATAGAGAGATTTCGTTTTGTAAGTATATTAATACAGAGGCAGGCCTGATTTGGGGCGGGGGGAATTGTTCTACCTACATACAGGAAAATTTTTATTAAACTGCTGAAATACTGCACAAAATTATATGAAAGTCATTTCGGTGTCAACCCCTATGACAGTGTCACCTGGTGTGGATTGCACCCTTTGCGCTTGCCTACGGACCACACTGAACCAATGCATAATGGACCATAGTGTCAAACAGTTTGAATCAAATTCGTTACTAAAGAGGCTTGGATTGCAAGTCATTAGAATACTGAAGCGTGGTACGTACCCTGAACAGTCTCTCCTGGAAAATCAGTCGAGTAAAAATAGGTACCTAACTGCAAACATAAAGAAACCAGGATGCATAACAGTGCTTTTGACAGTGGAGTTTCCAAATAGTGTTGGAATGAAGAATGAAAATAAGGTCCGGATGTTGTTTTTAAGTGCCTTCGAGTCCCTTCTGACTCATAGCGACCCTGTCTAGGATATTCGAAAGGGTGCTGGTGAATTTTAACTGTCGACCTTGCAGTTCAAACCGAACTTGCGGTCAAGTGTTTATACTACAGCGCCACACCAGGTCTGAAAACGGGTTAATTAAGCTTTTGAAAAAATAAAAGTCTACTTTCTCATCAAGCACATTCTACGTATATTCAAGCAGAGGAAAGGCATATGGAAATCAGGTTAAAATGAATTGATAAATTTGTGAATCATGCTTTTATATATGAAACTTTAACAAAGAAACTAGTATGTAGCGAATTATTTTCCACGAAGGAGGGGAGGGAATAGGTTAATTTTTTTTAAGTTAACCTTTCAACCAAAGAATACATCAGTCGCAAACTGCTCACGCACTTCCGGAACTTAGCAACTGGCATTGCCCATAATCCAATCAGAGCGCTTCTGTCTCTATATAAGTAGAGGAGCAGGCACACGTCTGCTACATTTGTTTTGTAAGTAAACTATGGCTCGCACTAAGCAGACTGCTCGTAAGTCCACTGGCGGCAAAGCGCCACGTAAGCAGCTGGCCACCAAGGCTGCCCGCAAGAGCGCGCCAGCCACTGGCGGAGTGAAGAAGCCTCACCGCTACAGGCCCGGTACCGTGGCGCTGCGTGAGATCCGTCGTTACCAGAAGTCCACCGAGCTGCTGATCCGCAAGCTGCCGTTCCAGCGGCTAGTGCGGGAGATCGCTCAAGACTTCAAGACCGATCTGCGCTTCCAGAGCTCTGCCGTGATGGCGCTGCAGGAGGCGTGCGAGGCCTACCTGGTGGGGCTCTTCGAGGACACCAATCTGTGCGCCATCCACGCCAAGCGTGTCACCATCATGCCCAAAGATATCCAACTAGCCCGCCGTATCCGCGGCGAGAGGGCTTGAGATGTTCTCCCACGTGAGTGCTAGCTATCCAAAGGCTCTTTTCAGAGCCAACAATCTTTTCTGTGGAAGATGCTGTAATAGATACCATGTAGCCAATTAACTCTCAACTAGAAAGCCCTCGAAGGAAGTATGCCATTTGGTTTTGGGGGGAAGTGCGGGGGGGTGAGGCGTGTTAGTTTTCAAAACAAGCCTACTTCCTGTGGATGATTTGGTTACCAACCACTGCCCCCCTGTCTACTTTGCTTTCGTAGCCTAACCCTATCTTTTTGCACGGTAGACTTCTTGATCCCTCTATTTTGAAAGGAGCCCAGACAGTAACTGGTTCAACTTCGGTTGTCCTTAACTCCCCAAACTTATAAAGGTGGCCTCCAGCTCCTACCTCCAACACTGATACATCCCTGTGTCAAGTCAACATTTAGGTCTCAGACACTGACTTGTACCCTCTTGCTTGCAGACATAGTGTTTGGCAGCGCGAGTCAGAAAGAACTCAGAAATTTTAAAGAGCAAAGTTTATTGTTGGCAGCCAAATTGTCAGCTCAAGCCCAAGTCACTCGGACCCCGAAATGAGGAGGGGAGCAGAGTTTTATACAAGAAACACAGCGATTCCAACACAGACTTGTTAGCTGGGGTGGTAAATTTCAGCAGACCCTTATTCTGTAAGTGGAAGTAAATCCACCAATAAACCCTTATCTTGGTTGTATGGGTGGGCTAAGTTTTATCCTGTTTGTTCAAGTGTCCTTGGGTCATTCTGGCCTTCTAGGTTTTTCTGTAAGAAGTTTATTATTTTTCCATAGGGTGAGGTTGGGGGAAAAGGGAGCACAGTGAACTATGCTATAATATTTCAAATGGCAAATGGGGGCTGTTAGTTATGCTATAATATTTCAAATGAGGGCTATTATTATACCATAACAATAGCAAGTCCCAGGAGCCCGCGCTTATGCGCTGCGCAGCTAATTTAAAAAGTTGTCAGTGCCATCTAGGCTCTGGTTCAGACTCAAAGTGAACCTGCACTTAAGGGTTTCCAAAGAGCAGCTGGTGAGTTTTAACCACCGACCTAGTGTGGATTCCTCATGTGGAACTGTAGGGTAAGCACTGGATCACAAGGTTGCTTTTAACTGCAAGGTCTGTGGTTTATACCATTCAATTTTCAGAAACTCTATACAGGGTAACTGAATCTGAACTGACTCAAGAGCACTTAACAATGTGTAAGATATGCACTGTGTATCTTCTCAACAACGAGAATAATATATATATTATTTGATACTAATTGGCTGATGTCAAGTTGGTTCTGACTTTCAGTGACCCTGTAGAGGGTTTCTGATGTAAATCTTTATGGAAGCAGAAAACCTCGTCCTTCTTCCTGCCTGGTGGACTTGAACTGCTGACCTTGAGGTTAACAGCTCAACGCATAAGCCCCAGATACATAGTAGAACATATACTGTTGCAGACCGTGTGTAGACTATACAGGCCGCAGGCTCTGAGGAACAAATGAGGCCACTGGCAGTCATGGCCAATTGTTTTTAATCTTAGTATTAGGTTATGTTTATAATTAAATGCAGACATGAGCCCTTATTATCCACAGAGAAATATTAGAACCTCCTAAAGCCAAGACTAAAGGTTTCAAAGGTCAAGCCTTTCTCCAAAAGATTGACTAAAAATATCTTAGCTACTTTGCAGTTCTTTGTTCTACAGACGAAAAAGCCATCTTCCCTGAATCTCTCCCAAGTGCAGGTTATTATTCAGCCAAGTTCCTGAAAACCTGGCTCAGGGAGCTAAAACAGCAGGACTCCGCCCAAGCCTTTTGTCCTTACCTCTCACCTTCCCCCAACTGAGCTCAGGGGCTATAGATATGTTAATTGAGCCTGAGAAACCAGGTTGTGGGCCTGGGATTCGAACCAGCGATGTATGATGTAAAGTTACCTGAATGTCTGGAAAATTACTGATGTCAGCTTTACCTTGTCTTAGTCCCTCCCACCTTGGTGTGAAGCTCCTCCCCTAAATAAAACAGAGGCCCAGACCAGCCCAGGTGTGCATTACAAGTTGGAGGGCATACAGTAAAGATTGCAGGGCAGTGAGTTGCTTCCTGCAGAGGCCACGATGCCTGTAGTCCCAAGTCTGTCCACCAGTGATGCATCCACCCTGGTTTCGGGGTGCCTCCTTGTCCCCCTCCTTCTGTCTGTCTGTGTATACTTTTGCTATCTCTATCTCCGCTGGATCTCCCCTCGTGAACCAAACACTCATGAACAACACAACTATGTCGAGGACAGTCCCCGACAATATACCAATTTACTAATTTCTACATGTAGAATTCAGTGACAGTGATTGTCCTTGATGAGTTGTGCAGCCATTTGTACCATCTTTTTCTGAGTTTTTCCTCCTCCACTAACATAAACTCATTGGCCCCTAATTTCCTATTTAATCTTTCCCATTGCTGTTGTCAATTTGATCCCATAAAGACAGTTATTAAAAGAGCCCAACACTCAAGGCAGATATTCTTTACTAGGTAAGATAAACTATTGTTATGTTGTAAGAAGATTTCAGGGGATATTTTTGGTTTAAGGTTTAAAGATTAATTCAGAGGAATAATTTCACAGGTTCATCCAGCATCCACAACTCCATGAAGTCAGAAGTCTATGAGAATTTCTAATTCTTTACTGCATATAGTCTTTTTTCTTTCTTCCAGTTATCATTGTTCTAGAATTATATACAACATAACATTTGCCAATTTGCCTTTTTCTTATGTACAGCTTAGTGATGATGTCAATTACATTATACCAGTTGTACAATTTTCAATTTTTTAAACAAAAATTAATAATTTTATTTGACTCCCATATAGTATGTTATATAATTATTTATAAACTGAAATTTTAAGCTAAGGTCATATTTAACCTTAATCACTTGAGTTACATTACTCTCAAGGAGTCCTGGTATGGTGCTGTAGGATAAGCACTGGACTGCTAACCACAAGGTCAGCAGTTTAAATCTTCTATCTTATCCTTGGAAACCCTATTATAGGGTCACTATGAATCGGAACCAACTCAAGAGCACTTACTCTCATAACCCCTACACAACATTCTAATGCTCAAAAAGCATGTGAAAATGATTGGATATTCGATAAAAATCTGAAGAATTTATCATAAACAAACACTGCTATTCAGGATTTTGTTGTTGTTGTTAAGTGCCATCGAGTCGGTTCCGACCCATAGCGACCCTGTACAGGGTTTCCGAGGGTGTAAATCTTTACGGGAGTAGAAAGCCTCATCTTTCTCCCGCAGAGCGGCTGGTAGTTTCGAACCGCTGACCTTACGGTTTGCAATTGCATGTTAAATGCTAAACTGTTATGTAAAGTAAAGCCATTTGGACTGCAAGGTTGGCAATTATCGCTCACCAGCCACTCCTTGGAAACCCTATACAGGGTCACTATGGATCAGAACTGACTCGAGCGCACTAAACAATAACAACAATGAGATTTTACAACCCAAGTTGTAGGAAATCTTGATTTTAACTTTATCATTGTTATTTATTAGCCATTTGACTTTGATTGAGTTATTTAGCTTGTCTTCATTTCCTCACATATTGAACAGATTTAATTTATATGAGAAAACTGAACATGAAACCTGGCACATGTACATTTTAATGGATGTATGACTTTTGTCTTTTGACCAACAAGGCCTATGGTTTGGGGCATTTTCTATATTACAACTCTGGTAGCGTAGTGGTTACAAATCAGGCTGCGAACTGCAAGGGCAGCAGTTCGAAACTACCAGCTGCTCCGTGGGAGAAAGATGAGGCTTTCTGCTCCCGTGAAGATATAGAGCCTCAGAAACCCTGTTCAGGGTTGCTATGGGTCAGAACCGACTCAACGGCACTTAACAACAACAAAACTGTTGACTGGCAGCAAATGATACTTCTAACCACAAGAGTTGACAGTGTTGGTTGTTTGCTTCTGGAGCCTCCAGTACAACCAGGTCATAAGCATGTGTCCAAGACCCTGTCTATTAGATTCACTATGGCAACTGTGGCAGAAGAGCTGCTGGAAGATAAGGGTCAAGAAATAAGGAACACCATTTCCTAAGCATTATATAAAGAGCAGGAACAGGGGAGCGGATCTGTTACCAGAAACAGTCTGGATTTATTATTATTTGAAAGATTTGTGTCAGTCAGTTATATACCAGTCTATTTGTACTGGCCATTAAAATAAGGATGTTTTTGTTGTTGTTAAGTGCCATCAAGTTGGCTCCGACTCATAAGAACCTGTATAGGGTTTCTGAGGAGCGGCTGGTGAATGTGAACCGCCAACCTGGATTGTTGTTGTTGTTGTTATGTGCCGTGGCCAGCCTGGATAGAGGCACTTTTTTTTTTTTTTACTGTTTAGCATCTGATCTAGCCAATGATTCTGTGTGCTACCCACATACTCTTAATAAACTACCTTTCCGATTAACTCAGCAAGGCTGCTTCAAATGCTTGCAAAGAAACATATCCTCTGCTGCAGAATGTAGTAACGGAATGTTAATTACAGTTTTCTTATAATGCATCATAAGTAGTTCGTAGGAAACACACAAGAATTCTTCATTTTTACAAGAATAGGGTACACTACATGGCCCTAACTTTACAAATTCGGGAGTATAATAAATTCTTCCTAACAATCTGGAACTTTATACCATACAAAAGTTGCAAAGAATTTTTCTGTTTAAGAAAAAAATGTTAAAAGGCTTTATTTAACAAGGACATTTAATTCTTGTTTTGGGTAAAAATTCATATTCTGTTTACCCTTAACAATTTTATCAAATATTGGATGTTGTTGTTAAGTGTGCCATCAAGTCGTTTCAGACCCATAGTGACCCTGTATAGGGTTTCCAAGGACCGGCTGCTGAACTTGAATCACCAACCTTGTGGTTCAAACCGACTTTGCAGTCTAGTGCATTAGCCCACAGCACCACACCAGGACTCCTAATATTGTGTTGCAGACC